TGGCTGTGTATTTTGAGACTCAAAGCTACAAGTGTGTAGCTATTTTCACCCAGGCACAGAGTATATGATTCATTAGTGAAAATTCTCATATGGCTTTTTTGTAAGATGAGGTATAATTTGTCCAAAGTCCACAAACCAAGACCTAATTAGGATTACTTGACTCTTAAACTGCTCCAGTAGTGAATAAAAAGTTAATACTGATCTTCCTAAAAATGATCTGACAATACAAATCAAGAGTCTGAAGAACGTCTGTACCCTGTCGGAAACAGACTTATAAGAAATAATCAGGGCTGTGGACAAAGATTTAAATATGAAGATTCTTATCAAAGTTTATTTACAATAGAGAAAATTTGGAAAAAAATCTAAGTATCCCACAATAAGAAAATAAATTATAGTCTCTTTATATGAAGGAATATTATGCAGTCATTAAAAAGCATGTCAGAAAAATTATAATAATAATAATACACTCAAAATTAGCAGTCATGATTAAAAAGTTAAGATATTAAATTTTATATATATCAATACTATGATCCTATACTATACTATTATGCACAGAATAAATACTGAAAGAAAAGACAGTGAGTTACATTGGTAGTTATGGCTGGGTGGTACTGATTCTGTTTTCATCTCTATATTTTTCTGTATTTTCCACAAAATACAGTGTCTACAGTGATCTTGTATTTGTTTTATATTCATAAGAATAATACACAATACAAATTAAAGATATATCTGGATCATACAAAGCACTGCACAAGATATAAAGCTAGGGAATAAAAGCTGCTCTGTATATGTAACTTTTAAAGGAGTGGTCCCTACATCAGCATCATATAGAAACTCAGAAGCCCTCAACCGTGTAAATCACTGATGGGCTCTAGGAGCTTTGACATGTAAATTACTCAAGCTCTTCTCCCCACGCTAAGGACACATTCTCCGTAGACAGAGGCTTACAGAATCCCTTGGCTCGTATTCCTCTGCCTGTCCCATAAAACATGACCTAGCAAGTCCCTTTCAGTCAAGTCTGAAAGAGGAGCAGAGGGCCCCAGGTAACATGATGCACCCAGAGCACGTCTGCAGCTCTGACAGGTGCAAACAACTCCACTCGTCTAAATATAAATGGATTTAAGCAGTTTGGAAACAGTCTTCCCCACTTTCTATTCTGATCTAGCAAAAGAATGTTCTCTTCTTTAGTTCTGACTCGATGCTGGTTATTTTTATTTAGATTCACTTTGCAATCACTTTCATTCAAAGAGAAGCAATGTTAGAATTTGAAGAAGAAAAAAAGAAAGAAAAAGATTTCTCTTCCAGAATCTTGCATGATTTGAGCTGTTTTTGAAATGTTTTCAGTTGAGGAGCAGATAAGGCATTAACAATATATTTTCAAACTTTCTGGATGAGCAAAAAAGCTGCTGTTTACACATGCAGAAGGAAGCAGCGTCCAATATTTAAGCCAGAAAGAGGATCTAATTTTTAATCAATGGCGTGGAAATTCTTTGGGGGAACGTAGAGAACTCTGTGCCATTTCCAATTCCTGCCATGCTCTCTTCCCATTACCCCTAAACTCTAACTCCCCCTTCAGGATCCTGCTCAACGGTCACTTCTCAAAGGTCAGCCTTCTCAGACTTTCCCCTCCCCTGCCCCACTGCCAGACATGCACAGTCTTCCTCTTAGCTCCCCTAAGAAAGATTTGCCTTTCACACATTCATCCCACATCATTATATATTAGCTTAAGAGCTTCTCGAGAGTAAGATAATATTTCACTCATTTTTCCATTTCCAGCACCCAGGTTTACGGTAGTTAATGGTGTGCTGTTGAATGAATGAACAAATGTGTAAGAGAGAACTGGAAAAGTCACAGATGAGCCCAAGTGCAAGAAGAAGACAGTGCTACTAACAGCCATGAAAAACAACAGCTTATGGTAAAAAGATCATTAGCTATGCTTAGCCACTGTTAGGCTTCCTGGTTTTTGCGGGGAGGAGGGTTGGCTTATTAAATGAAATTAAGGCTACAATTCAAAGCCAGATATTAGAAAAGGAACTTGGTATGCATTGACTAACAGGTTGAAATTTTCCATTTTCAGTTTCCCTCTTTGTGGCTATAACATGAAAGGGTGAAGCAAGACTGTGTTTAAGGGCCAGTCCAGCTCTCAGGTTCTGAAACTCGGGACTGCTGTGAATTCTACTGGAACAGTTCTCCAGAGCTTGCATCCCAGTTCTATCCTGATCGCAAAGACTGCGCTCTTTGTAAACTCATAGACGCTACACTCCTACCTACCAAGACCGGGGTGTGCCACAACTAAGTTTAGCCCCACTCTCCCGGACTGAAATAGTCACCTAAACCACAGGGATGATTTCCTAGATCTATGTAAGGAAGATGCTTCCAAAACCTAACACTATAAAATTGTATTTACTTGTCCCAACTCCTTCCCAGTTTGGTTCAGATCGCCCTTTGCCTGCATACATTTTGCAATACCTGTTGGCTTTTTATCTCTGCCCACTCCTCCAGCATGCTCCCTCCACTTGAGAAACGTAGCCAGCACTTGGCATCATAAATCTTCAACCTACTCATCAGCTAATAAAAGGGGGTTTAGAGTTGGCAAAGGGAATATTGCACAGAAACTTTATTTGCCAATCGCCTACCAATAGCTAATTTCACAGGCGGTCCTTTATCAGATTTGTCCATTGAAAGAGAAGGAAGAGGACTAATGATCACCCTTCAGACAGGAAGACTGAGTCTGGGGAAGTTCTCTATGGAGCTGAAGGCTTCAACTGGATTATTGTAGTGGACTAGCGTTTTTGTCTTACATTCCTAGTAAAATTAGAAGCTGCTTTAAAATCTCTTACAGCAGAAATTCCCATATGCCATAGTCAATGTAATGAATTTTCAGAAAGCTAAACATATGCAATGTGAAGGACTAGCCTCTACTCTTGAGATTATGCCCTTCCTGCATTTTATTGTTATTGCTGTTAAAGAGTACTTCTTTTAAAAATAAAAGATGGTAACAGAAGATGGTAGGATTTGTTTGTTTTAGTGTCTTTACTTGGCACCTTAGAAAGCTGGCAATCCTATATTAATTTCCAAAATTCATTAAAACTGGAAAACTGGGATTCTCATCCCTAAAGTGGCTAGCGCAGAGCTGATCACCAAGGAGATGATATATATGACTATACACATGCATATTTAAATTGATCTCATATGGGAGGAGGGGCTTCTAAGCTCTCTTCTAAGCTCCTCATTCCCTACAGATCTCAAGGCATAGCACAGAGATCACCGAGGCCCTGTGGTACAGGCTGAATCTGTTCATGCAGATTCAATTCAGGTAGTTTCCTCGAAAATATACCTACCTGAGAAACCCTCAACTATATATGCGGTATTCTGTGAGATGGGTATTGGTTCTTTGCCCCAATAACAACTTCATAAAAAGGATTTTACTGTATTCCTTTCACAGTAACACCTGGACCGTGATGGGCACAAAGCAAGCATTCAGTAATTACTTACTTTCGACACTATCGCTGGAGCTGGGCATACTGATCCCGAAAAGGCTCCACCCAAAACGGAGGGGAACGCATTTGGCATTCTCTTGGGACTCCTCTGGGCTCCACGTGTGATGGGGGAAGTAACTGTCATCTGCGAACCCCCGGTAGCTGAAGTGTAAGACAAAGGCGGGGCGGGCGGGACGGCGGAATACAACTGCAACCAGGTCCGCGGGTGTAGAATGACTTTGCCCGGCTAGGACTTTGCCTAGGGAGAGGGAACTCTGCCAGCCGCCGGCGTCCAGCCCTCTTGCTGTAACGGGATGCTAGGCTGTAGGAAAGTGCCTCTGCCCCCTGGCGCCGGTCCTCGGGCTTCTGATGAAATTATGACCCACCGCCCTCTTCGCAGGCCCTGGACGCCAGCCCTATCATTCCGGGCGCGCAGCCGATCACGTGGCGCGGCGGTGCTCTGGGGGACCGCGGCTCCACGGCCATTGGTCGACGGCGCGCGTCCCGGGCGCGCCCATTGGCTATGGGGGGCGTTCACGTGAAAGGGGGTCTAGGATAACATCCCGAGTGGGGAGAAGTGGTCGCAAAGTTAAAGGGAGCCGTGCGGCGGCTGGGAGACCGAGTCCCGTGTGAGGGGCCGCAGGGAGGAGGCGGGCGGGCAGCTCTCGCGCACGGACGGATGCGGCTGCCCGCGAAGGGTGCCGACCTGAGCCCCGGCCCCCGCTCCTGCTGTCGCCGCCGCTGCCCCTGCCACCCCGGCGCGGATGCTGCCGCGGGCTGGCGCCTCCGCACCTCGGGGCTTATGAGCTGTACCAGGTACGTCCCTCCCAAGCCCGCAAGGCCGGCTGCCCGGCCGCGGAGACGGCGGCGAGGGCGCGTAGCGGGGGCCGTCTTTGGTCGTGCCACCTACACTTTCTCCGTCCAATTTGCAATTACACTCTGGGAGTGGGACACTTTAGAAGGGCTCAAGGAGGCTGTTGCTTCCACGTGGGGAGGGCAATCCAGGGACCAGAGGTGGGATGGAGCCTGGCCGGACCCACGTGATGCACCGAGGTGGGGGTCCCGGCCGCGACGGGCGGCCCGGGGGCTGGGGGCTGGGACTTCAGATACTCTTAATTCCTATTGTGACGAGTTCGAACCTGACACAAGGCTTTTCCACCTGGGACCCGACACTTCTAGAGAGTGTCCCCGGAGTTGAGCGATGGGGTCTCAGCACAGGGGAAAGTCGCTTCGTCTCTCCCCCGGCCTCGATTTCCCGGTACAACGTAGGGAAACACACTTGGTGATCTCTCAGGCCGCCGAGGGGGACGGGACACAGGACGCTGCGGCGGCCGGGGCCTCCCGGAGCAGAGCCACCTCCGGTTCCCGGTCCCCAGACGGGCTGTCCCGGGCCAGCGGGGGCGACGTGGCCGCGCGGGGACGCTCTCGTGGCGCCGCTCCGCCTCGGGTGGCCCTGCTGCCCCGCCCTGGTGTGATAACTAGGGCTCCTCCTCCTCGTCGTCTTCCTCCCCCTGCCGGTCACAACTCCGGGAACCCAGCCCAAGGCCTGCCTCCCGGACACACCGAGGCTCACGTAGTCTGGTGGCGGCAGCCTCCCCTGCCACCTCCCTCCGGGCATTCCGATGCAGCGAGCCAGCTGGAAAGGGGGCTTCCCCGCGGCCCAACAGGTGGGTTCCGGACAGGCGAAGGACCTCGGGGAGGGGTTGGGGGCGGGGTGCAGCCCGGGCCTGGCGGGACCAGGACACAGAGGGCAGGACGCTCTGGCCTGTGTCCTGTTCGTGCCACCCTTTTGAATCCAGAGAAAGGGGTGTGGAAGGGACTCAGTGCAAAAGAGGGGTTAGGGGGCCCAGAACATACTAGAAGATTTGGGCTCTGTCCTGATATTGTTTCCCGCAGAGGAGGAGAAAGTTGAGGACAGACTTGAGGACTTGGAGAGTTGCTAGAAGATGTTGGAGCCTGTGGTCTGCGTGGTCAGGCCTCCTTGGGAGACCCAGGGTCCAGGAGAAGAGAGTGTTAGGGCTTTGGGGGCTGGGGTGCAGAGAAGAGGAAATAGTTCACTTGGCAGGGTTATCCAGGAGCCAAGACTAAAGTGAAGACAGCTGGAGGACTGACTACAAAAGTGAAGTTGAGGTATTTAGGGAAAAGTTAGGGAGAAGAGAACCATCAGGCAGTATTAGCAACCTGGAATGTCAGAGCTGGAAGGGATCTCAGAGGAGAAAGCTCAAGCCCAGAGAGGTTGAGTGACTTGCCCCAAGTGGCACAGCCATGTGCAGGTATTCCTAGGCCAGTGCACTGTGTTTCACATTGAACATTTTTAGATGGCAGACACTGCCATTTTAACTTATCTCTTTCCTATAATATGCCACCTCATCCACAGATATTTATCTCAAAGATGCTTTGGATGATGGTGACAGAATAGAGGAGTCCAAGTGGCTTCTAGGGCTGTGAATAAGGGCCCCATGGTCTGAATACCAAGGGAAAGATGCCAATTTTACTCATACTGTGGCAGCCAAGCCTTTTGGGAGGGAATAAAGAAATGCCGAAGGGGTAAGTGGCCGCGTCTTTTAAAAAATTATACCTGGTAACCTGGTTGCGAATGCTTACTTAATGCTGTTTCAGTGTTCCTGTTGGGTTCTTGGTGCGTCTGATTTTTCTGTCTTTTCTTATCAGAGTACAAGAGAATGGAGGAGGCAATGTGTTGGCCTCAATACAAAAGAAAGATTTTCTTCCTATAAAAGGCACAGCCAGAGAGTCAGTAGCTCAGCCGCCTGAAACTGTGAAGGTCGTGGGGTTATTTTCTGTACAAGTCGATAGTTTTTAGAGAAGAATCACCACAATATCTAACCCTGGCTGAGAGGGTCTGTTGTTTGTCACTAGAGGAACACGGAAAGCAGTTATGCAAAACTATCCATGTTCTGTCTTTGCATGGCGTGTTAGGGTTTGCCCTCTTTTGACCAGAAACACTGAAATCTACCCTTGGTGCATGTCCGGTCTCTCATGGGGCAAAACTGATCTCCTAGGCATCTATTTAGAAGCAAAGGTTTTGAGAATCCGTTCTGGTCTGAGTAACAGCTACTCACATTCTCGTGACCCTGTCCTGCAACAAACTGGTATCCAGGTCCCATGTCATGCTGTGCTGGTTCAACTGTGTGTCCACATCTCATTCTGGTTTTTCTCCAGACCAACCTTGGTGACTCACATCCCCTGGCATGGGCATGAGAAAGACAGAGCGGCCTAAGAGTCTGTCATAAGAGGGGCCCTGAGGTACAGCCTTATGCGTCCTGTGTTGGAACTGATAATTTTCATGCCATTTGAGGACAAAACACTTGTCCAGGTGCCTTCCTTTCAGGGATTTAGGAAACTATTACCTTGCATGTCTCCGTGGCTACGAGTACGTCTGGGTGTTGGTCATCCCTGTCACGGTCCATGTGGGAATTTCTGAGCAGATGATCAGGAAGGCTTACACCAAACCAGCACTTCGGTGCACCAGTTCTTGGAGACCGATCTGGTTAATAAAAGCTGGAATCTACCTGTGAGGATAGGCAAGGGAGCCAAGAGTCAGATTGCACCCTCTACTGAAGCCACCGGGGTTAGTGACCTCCCTTCCAGTGCTGGTGACACCAAAAAAGTGAAGGGATTCTGGGTAGGGGTGCTTGTGCAATGGGCCTGGAGCAGGAGCCTGGGAAGAATGCCTGGGCCGCCAGGTGGTTCACCTTCCTTTTGCCCTCCATGGAGAATGCTGCAAAACCAATTCGGTTCCAGAAAGTGCCAGTGGAATTGTTTAATTACCTCTGGCTCCGACTCCAGCTTCACCTCCTCACCCCCAGTTCTTAAAGCTTGGTGATAAAAGGGATCTCAGGGGCATGTTTATACTGCTGGGTCCAAACACTGAAACTTTACCAAGGCCTTCAACTAAGCCTTTCTAACCTGCAGGATTAGACCTTGAGAGTGACTGCAGTCCACTGCAAGTATGCAGATTCTTTGCTTGATCTCCTTGTTTTAGAATTGTTTCCACAATAGCTTGAGAGTTTCCCAGTCATTTTCTAATGAGCTGTTTTAAGGTGGTTCTGGAAAGCATGCCTGAGGATGGTTTGCAGGCCTGCGGGACACTCATAGAGAGCTTGCAGTTGACCTTGTGCTGACTCAGGCAGGGAGGAAGCGGCTACAACAGAGGAGGAACCCCTCCTTCCTCCTCAGTTCACACCCAGGTTGTCAGGGGTGGGCAGAGTCGGGGCGGGGGGGGTGCTGGGATGCAAGACTTTGCCTGCTGTTTGGTTATTTTTAATTAACATTTAATTTAAAAAGCAAAAACTACCTGTATTAAAAGTAGAACTGAACATGTGATTCCAGTGCATTCTAACAAAGTTTTGCAATGAACAGGGGAAAAGAAAAATTCAAGTACTTTGTAAGTATAGGGTTTTTGTTTTGTTTTTTTATGTTGAACCCTCTGCCTTTTTTTAAAAAAGCTGTCTTGCCCAATTCAGTCAGAACTTTCCTTTCCAGAACAATTGAATGGGTATAAGAAAAGATAATAGGGACTTCCTTCGTGGCACAGTGGTTAAGAATCCACCTGCCAACGCAGGGGACACGGGTTTGAGCGCTGGTCCGGGAAGATCCCACATGCCGCGGAGCAACTGGGCCCGTGCACCACAACTACTGAGCCTGCGCTCTAGAGCCCGCGAACCACAACTACTGAGCCCATGTGCCACAACTACTGAAGCACATGCGCCTATAGCCCATGCTCTGCAACAAGAGAAGCCACCGAAATGAGAAGCCCACGCACCACAACGAAGAGTAGCCCCCGCTCGGGGCAACTAGAGAAAGCCCGCGCGCAGCAACGAAGACCCAACGCAGCCAAAAATAAATAAATAAAAGAATAGATAAATTTAAAAAATGAAAGAAAAGATAATAGCCAATTTGCTCCTAAAATTTTTACTTGTTTAACTTTGTTAGAGGAGAAACTATAAGGCTATTTAAGGATATTTAAAGGATAAGATGTTTAAAGGATATTTAAATATCCTTATTTAAAGGATAAGATATCCTTTAATGCATGTTTAGATAACTGCATTATGGCTATAAATTAAGATAAGAACATTTAGAAAGGTTGGGTCTTTTCAGACTAATACAGGTATTTGTATTATTATTGTTTTGTCTCTGAATGTTTGTGTTTCCCCACTTGGTCACCACTAAGTGATTCCTGCATCCTGGGGAAGTGCTGGGTTTTTTGGTGGTTGTTTTTGAAAATGGGATCAAGCCCAATACGTCTTCATCCTTTCTCATTTTTAAAATATATTTGATTAAACGAAATCAGAAGTTGAAAATGAGATATTATTTATTGGACTGATACTATTTGTTGGACCAGTGGTCCCCACTCTTGTCAGATGATGAGCGGCATTTTGCCTGTCCTTCTTCTGAACTACCGCCATCACCCCACAGCACCTCCCGGGGCGGGGGTGGGGGGGTAGGGATCGGGAGGCCTGAGAGCTGGTACCCCAGCACACCACCACACACCGACACCTCTGCCGTAGTGAGGGGAGATGTGTTTCGCAACTAATCCAGATCTGTGTTCTGTGATTCTCAGGCTAGAGAATTTAATCCTGATTTCATCGCCGACTTCTTCAATTAGCCCATTGGAACTGTCAAATCAGAATATCAATTTGCCATGGTAATTAGAATAAAAATGGCTTGGCTTTAGGGAGGCAATAGCGTTGGGTGGGTTTTTGGCCCAAGAATCTTAAGATACTTGAGGTGTTTTATTAGATTCATTTTGTTTTCTTGATAAGAGAAGGTCTATTATTTTAGAAAATATTAGAAAGTACAAAGCAGGAAAACAGAAATTTCCTGAAATCCCATCACGTGGAAAATTCTGACAGTTTTAATTATATCACTAGTCTTTTTTCTGTGCATATACGTAATATTTTTCCCTACAAGTCTAGTCTCTATGTACAATTTATCTTCTCCATTTTCTACATTAATCATATATTATAAATTTTTATGCCATTTAAATCTTTTTCCACATAATGGTTTTAATGATGATATTAAATTGTATCACATGGATGTGGTGCACTTGATTTAACTGGATACCTGTTATTGGTCATAGTTTACTTTCTCACCCCTTTTCCCTCCATAATGTTGCACTGAACATTTTAGTACGTTAACCTTCGCGCATTTTTAATTATTTCCAAGATTAATACCTGTGTGTGATATTAGAACCGAAAATGATGATTTAGAAAGGTTGTGCCCATTAAGACTAATACAGATATTTGTATCATCTTTTAAAATTCTTTCCTAACTCACTAGGTAAAAACAGGCATTGTCTTCTGATCTGAATTTCTTAAGTTACTTGTAATGCTGGACACTTCGCATATTTATGAGCCACTTTTAAATTTCTTTCATGAATTGTCTATTCATGCTCCTTGCTCATTTTTCTACATGGAATATTTGACTTTGTTATTGTTTTATAAGAACTCTTTATAAAAGTATTAAAACTTCGCTGCCGTGCTTTTTGGAAAATGTTTTCCCAGTCTTCGGTTTTTTGGTTTTACTTATTTTTTTTCACTTATAGAAAAACAATTGTTTTTATGAAGTCAGATTTAATTTAATCTTTAGCATGATTCTCTTTGCTTTTTATTCTTATAGAGGCTACTTTCACTGTAGAAAAACACAATTCTTCACTGATACGAAAGATTTAAAAACACTAAATTGCTGGCACTTTTTAAAAGTAAGATATACTAGAATATAAAAATCTGTACATTGAATGAAAGCAAGTGTGGGTCGGTCTTCACTCCTGATTCCCAGTCTCTGGCACCATGCCTGGCACATAGCAAACACCAATCAGTATTTGTGGGAGGAATTAATTTCTTTTTATCGGAGCAAAGCAGTATTTACCAAACTGCATTCAGCAAGGTGCTCCACCAAAAAAAAAAAAGACTTTCCTTGTTTGGGATAAGTTTAGGAAATTCGGCAAACAGCACGCTGTTTTCATTATTCTCCATGGCCCATCAGTATACTGACGGCCCCAACAAGCCCTGACAGGGAAACCCATGAACTAGTTTTAAAACCAGTGGTTCCGTACTTCTGTGTTTGTTTTAACCTTGGGCCTCTTCCCCCCGCCCCCCCACTTTACACTCTTAATCTCCCCTGATACCAAGGTCACACTGGACCACACCTGAGGTAATATTGAGCTGTAGCCACGTGGGCAAAGATGAAGGCAAACGTAGTTCGCTGGTCCCTGTCGGAGGGATGAGCCTGAACATCTGTCTGACCTCCTTGCTGTTTCTTTCCTTCCCCTTGGCCAGGGTTCTAGCCTGCTCTAGCCCCGTGATGGCTGTGGACATTGAGTGCAGGTACAGCTGCATGGCCCCCTCCTTGCGCAGAGAGCGGTTTGCCTTCCAGATCTCCCCGAAGTCAAGCAAACCCCTGAGGCCTTGTATTCAGCTGAGCGGCAAGAATGAAGCCAGCGGGACGGTGGCCTCGACCGTCCAGGAGAAGAAGGTGAAGAAGCGGGTGTCCTTTGCAGACAACCAAGGGCTGGCCCTGACAATGGTCAAAGTGTTCTCCGAGTTTGATGACCCGTTAGATATTCCACTGAACATCACCGAGCTCCTGGACAGCATTGTGAGTCTGACAACAGCGGAGAGCGAGAGCTTTGTGCTGGATTTCTCGCAGCCCTCTGCAGACTACCTGGACTTCAGAAATCGGCTTCGGACCGACCACGTCTGCCTGGAGAACTGCGTCTTGAAGGACAGAGCCATTGCAGGCACGGTGAAGGTGCAGAACCTCGCATTTGAGAAGATGGTGAAAGTCAGAATGACATTCGACACCTGGAAAAGCTTCACAGACTTTCCCTGTTGGTACGTGAAGGACACGTACGCAGGTTCAGACAAGGACACATTCTCCTTTGAAATCAGCTTGCCTGAAAAAATTCAGTCTTATGAGAGGATGGAGTTTGCCGTGTGCTATGAGTGCAATGGACAGACGTACTGGGACAGCAATAAAGGCAAAAACTATAGGATCATCCGGGCAGAGTTGAAATCCACCCAGGGAACAGCCCAGCCACCAAATGGACCAGATTTTGGAATAGCTTTTGACCAGTTTGGAAGCCCTCGGTGTTCCTATGGTCTGTTTCCGGAGTGGCCTAGTTATTTAGGATACGAGAAGCTTGGGCCCTACTATTAGTGATGGCCTGGGATGGAGCCGGGCTGAGTGGGTGCAGAGGAGCCGAGCTGCATCACCCCAGGATGGAGATGGAAGCCCAGAGAAAAGCTGAACTGCCATCAGGCACAGTTTTCGAAAAGAAAGGATCCTAGTCACTTTTTTTCTTCGAGCAGGCAAGCCAGCCAGGCTTAGATCACAGAACTGGGTTCACACTCAGAGGAGATGGGGGTGCGGTCTGTTTGGCACCCGCGTGGTGGCAATGAGGGTCCGAGCAGGATGGTGCTGGAAACAGTCTGGACAGGACCCAGGCCTGCAGGGAGCGCTGGCCAGGCCGGAGGATGGTGGCTCAGTGACGAGGAGCCCCTCTCCCCTCGGGTGTGGGAAGTCAGTCCCCCCGGCCCCCTCTTCCTGTGGTCTTCCCCGCCCACCCAGGGCCTCCCCGCCTGTTGCAGCTGCCCCGTGTCTACGTGGGCTTCACACTTTATCTCTGTGTGTTTGATTTTCTTCCACAGTTCATCTGCAGTTCAGGAAAAGATAATAAAGGCAGATCAGCTCATGATGGAGACAGGCATTTCCTTTTTCTGACCCCACTTAGATATCCCAGCAGAGGACGACACACCAGCTATGAAAAGTCAACCGGCTGCTGTGCGGTGTCACCACCCATGGCAGGCTGGTGCCAGGCAGGACAGTCAGGAGGGGGACACTTTTAGCTCCACCTCTTGGCGCTGGGGGGAACTTTCTAAGCACTCTTACCCTGAGTCACCCGAGGGCTCAATTACAAGACTTGCTGTAACTTGCCAAGCTGGTTTGCCCGTGTCTCTTTCTTCACGAAAGGATTTTAGGATCTCTTTTCCTGGAGAGTCATCTTTTATGCTGTGCTCAGGACGTTTGGATTTGCAGACTAAGTGTATCCTCGGCACCTTCAGGAAGTGCTTGGTTGTATCTTGACTGTGATTTACAACCTCCACGTTGTAAACAGCGCCTTACAAGCCCCCACGGACTTTGACTTGGTTGTTCTTACCTATGGTGTGTGGGTACGTAAAGGGATAGGGGCGAAGAACCTCACCGAGTTCTCAGATGTCGTTTTCGCTGTTTGCCAACTCTGAAATATCAGATATTATTTGTTCTTAACCACATTGGACTAAAGCATTAAAAGTCTGTTGGTTCATACTGTTGTGAGACTCCTGGGACTTTCCTTGTCAGATGGACCCCCAAACCCTGTGATTTTTCTTGGGCAAAATTGGTTGGTCCTTGGGGGTGTTTAAAAATATTTTTACATGTGTATTTGTAGAAGGTTGGGGTCTTTTTCTGTTCTGTTTTTGTTTTTGGAGCTTAGCTAAATGACTGCCTCATTTTTCTTTTGCCTGACCTTACTAAAGTGAGGTCTTCCTCAGGGAGGAAGGAAGAGGGATGCCCCACTGCCTGGATTTGGGGGCACAGCTCCTGGACTCTGCAAGCAAAGAGTCTTCTTTCACTTGCATTATCCGGATCAGTTGGAAGAGACCTCCCAGCTTCTGTGGCTTTGTAAATTAGCATCAAGCAGGTCTGGAGTGTCTTGGCTCCTAGAGTTTTGTGGTTGGGTTTTTCTTTTTTGAACTTTAAAAAGTTTTGACTTTTTAAATGCTCTCAAGTGGTGTTCCACGGAGTTCTTGTTCCTAAGACTGGCTGTGACTAGTCTGCAATCTACTGCTTTATTTTTTATGTCTCTCCTAGGTGGGCAGCACTGCGGGTTACATGATAATTTATGGGACAGTCACATTTTTTATTTTATGCTGACATTGGGCAGAACTGGGATTTATCTAAGCATGTCTTACATCAGGTACACAGACAGTACTCCCTGTGTTACAAATCAGGTGATCAGAACTATTATGTAACAGTGTAAATATACACCATGGGAAGCAAAACTGATCTTATATAGGTCATGAATTTATTTTGCTTTAGGAAGTCCCACCCTCCTCCTCCAGTTTATGAAGGGTACAAGGTGTACTGTCCTTTCCCTATTAACAGACCGAAGGTATCAAGATCGTTCCCTGTTCGTAAGAAAAATGCCTCAAGTGACTTCTGTATGGTTTTCAGTAATAAGGATCTTAAGGCATTTCCGTGTCAGAATTTGAAATATGGTAATTCAGTGATAAGTATGTCTTTTAAAACACCACAAACGCTCCCCCACCCCTCTTTCCTCCCAGCTGACCCCTGCTTTCCTGCCAGGGGCACTGCTTGCAAGCCCCCTGCCAGTGCACCTGGGCTGCTCACCCCACCAGGCAAGTCCTCACCTGCTGGCAAAGACGCTTCTCTGACTAAAGCAAGTGCCCGCCCGAGGTCCCTGTCAGCACGGTCATGCAGTGAGGTTGCAGCACCTGAAAAATAGTCTCCTCTTTACCAATCAGTCTGTCTCCTTTTGGGGCGGTTCTGTCCCAGGAAATCAACAGATGGCTTCAGGACCTGCTCCTTCTATGGGCCTTCTCCTTGTTCATAGCTCACAGGCAGTAGACAGGTGACACATTGCAGAAAGTGACCGGTTTCTTTTTTTTTTTCTCACTTGCAAGGTTATAATGTCACCATTTTAATTAAGAAAAACATCTTTTTTTTTCTTCCAGTGGAAACAGCTTGAAACTCAATTGATAATTCTTACAACTGGTACTAAACAAAGGTGGGGAAAAAAACCCAATCAGAACTGATAACAGCAGGTCAACAGCAGACAAAGAGCAGGAGAAAGGGAATTTTCCACGCAAAGGAGATTGTGCACGTGGATAATTCAAGGCCACAGTCATTTTCTACCCCCAAGTTTGTGTGTTGTATGCTTTCTTTCAACTGAATTACTTTAATATCGTTTGTGTCCATGATTCATTTACCTAGCCAAAAATAGGCTCACCCATGAGTTTTGCAGCTGTCCTTTTTTTTTTAACATCTTTATTGGAGTATAATTGCTTTACAATGATGTGTTAGTTTTTGCTGTATAACAAAGTGAATCAGCTATACATGTACATACATCCCTGTATGTCCTCCCTGTCGTGTCTCCCTCCCACCCTCCCTATCCCACCCCTCTAGGTAGACACAAAGCACCGAGCTGATCTCCCTGTGCTATGCAGTTGCTTCCCACTATCTATTTTACATTTGGTAGTGTATATATGTCCATGCCACTCTCTCACTTCGTCCCAGCTTACCCTTCCCCCTCCCCTTGGAAAGTGACAGTTTTCTTAGTTGGAGATATGAATGCAGCCTGACCTGTAGGTTTGGCCCTCAGACAGCTCTTGGTTATGATGACACGTGGCCCCCTTCCCAACCTGCCCCCAAAGGACCAGCCTTCTGCCGCTGGTGCAGCTGTCCATGGATGGGGAGGCAGCTCCATTTCTGTTTCATATTTATTCCCCGCTATGTCCTGGGGAGCATTTGCAAATTAGGTGCAATAAATAAGCTAGACTATCTAAAGACAGATTTTAAACAATAAGCTTTCAGTGTTTCTTGGAAGATGTGAAGCATCTGGGCGAGTTTGTTTGCTTTTTTTAAGTATTCTTGTTATAGGAGAGCTGGTGAGAAACAATGGAGTTATGTAGTTCTCCAGAAATCAAAACAATTTCAGAGTCAAGGTAGAGTTTATTTCTCTCTAAGATTTAATTTTAATGGTGGCAAAACATTACTCTCTCAATGTTTCTTAAAGATGTAAATCTTGAACTGCTAAAAGAATGTTTTGTGGTTTTGATCTTTGCATATAATTTGCTTTTTTTAAAAGAAGCCTTACTTGTAGTCACTGGGACATTGAATGGCTCGTGTATATATGTTTATAAACCAAAAAAGTGTTTGCTTACTTTTCAGAAGTGCCGTTGGCTAGGTCTTCCCTCTCAATGGACAGTGAGTGAAAACCTCGGTGTCTTTCCTGTTTTCCACATGTTAAGTCCCTCGAATGGATGTGGTGTGCTGGAGAAAGCACATGGCTGTCGGCTCTGGGAGGTCCTGATGGCCTGTCTCTCCCGAAATGATCACTGACATTGGGGCTAAGTTACACACGCAGTGGGATCTCCCAGGGTCATCAAAGACGACTTGCCAGCGTATCTTCGCTTCCTGAAGTGGGACACCTCTGGACGGGGAAGGACAGCTGTGCTGACGGGCAGCTTTTCCTTGTTATGGTTGTAAAGCGTTGCAGCCCAGGTTGTAAGGTTGTGAATGTTTTTACAGTCTTGTTTATCAGTTCCTCGAGTCGGCTGGACCCATGAAGACTCCAGGAATGCAGCTGTGATGGTGGTGGTTCACTCTTCCTTCTATGTTATGTGAATGTAGAAACGGAGACTCATCTTCATTTTCATGCCTAAAAGTGCCTTGTTGAGAAAGTTCCACAGGTTTTAAAAAAATACATATTTTTGTACACAAAGTTAAAGGGGAAATGCACTTTAAAATCACAAGAATGGATGCCTTTTGTGTGGTGTAAGAGAGTGGTTTGTTTGAATCTCAAATGCAAAAATGTAATAAAGGTTGAAAACAAAACTGAAAGTGTCCTGTTTTAAAACTTACTCTCTTCTTAGAGTCAGAGGCTGGGGAGGAACATTTTCAGTCTGTGTATTTCCACATCTGGAATGCCGGTTTCCAAAAGGGACAGGACACAATCAATGGCTAAGTAGAAAAGCTGTAAAGTTCAGAGGAAGGGGGGTAATTGCTTTCTAAGTTGTACAGCAGCCAAGGCTGGGTACACCTAAGAGAGTGATTGCCAGGGAAGTGGTACAGGGGGCCGTGTTGTTCTGAATCATTTTTAATGATCCAAGGGCAGGTCTCTTCCTACCCTGTCACTTGCTCTTGAAGCATATTTTTGACTTGGTGTATACGCAGCAGTGGGAAAACTGTGAGCAGCTATCATAGCTTTGCACTGCTTGATCAGACAAACTCTGCAAGCGGCAAAACCACGCAGCTCCTGGTGGGGCCCTGTCTCCACTGGGTACAGGACATTCACCCTAAATAAGATTTCAGAGATGTTTTATTTCCAAGTTCAGAAGATGGGATGCAGGGGAGGTAAACTGCTGCCAGGTGTTTCCTGCCAATCAGTCTCGGCCACGCCGGGAAAGGCAGTGGTGCTTCTGTCGTGGAACGTCAGAGCATTTAAAATCTTAGCACCCAGTCAGTAAGCGCCCAAAGTGAGCTACATGCATGACCGCCTTTCTCAAGCCTGGCAAACACTGCTGTTTTTGCCTCCACAGAAATGGGAAGGGGAAAAAAATAACACTGGTTTTATGAATGTCTACTTGTGATTCAATGTGGTTTTCATAATCATTACATAATTCTAACTTGTGAGACAGACATCCCAGAGATGTCTGGAGTAAAAAGGAAACAAAACAAAAAAACCACCAAACCACTTTTCTAGAGCAATGTCCCCAGAATAGCAAATATCCAAATAATTCAGTGGAACATTTATTGCTTGTGTGCAAGGCTGTTTCTAGGTGCTGTTTCTACCCAACCCTGTAAGAGACATGTTTCAGGTGAGTCCTCTGGGAGCCGTGTAAAGTGGTGGGTGGTGCTACCAGAGGTATCAGCAGTCAGAAAGCCTGGGTTCTGGCCTTGACCCTGCCGCCCCCTGTCAACTGCTCTGACGGGGCTCTGCGTGTTTTCAGCAGGAATAAGGTAACCAGGGGCTCTGGCGGTGGCCTGAGTACTTCTCAGAGTTGGCCAACGTGTTTGTTTTTAAAACGGTTCTAAATATAAACTTGGAAGAAGTACCACATACACTATTTGCATTCTTTGTAAGGATCACAGGCACGAAGAGCATTCCAGACAACAGCTTGGACTTCACAAAACCGTCAGTGTTCGCACTGTAAGCGCTGTCAGGGAGCTCTTTTTACGGGTGAAGAGTTGAAGGCCCTCAGTGTTTTCCCGAAAGTCACAGAGCCAGTCGGTGACAGCTGAGAGGACTGCGCACGCGGGTCTCTTTTTCTTTTTCCGAGAAGTGTCACCCCAAACTGGAGTCTCTCTCACAGAACTGAGACTAAAAGGGTGATTCTGAGAAGTTCCTCAGGCTAGAAAGATGCGATCCCCAGGGGAGGGGTGAACACACGCACCTTTATACACAAAAGGCACATGGCAAGGACCACTGACCACACGAAAGCATAAAGGTCAACATTAAATGATTTGGGCATCCTAGGGCCCAGCTGGACAGCGGGATGTGATTGACGGAAGGAAACCACCGAAGGGCCCCGTAGCTCCCCACGTGTTCGAGGAGACGGGCTAGATTCGGGGCCAGCACTGCCTTTCACCTGTAGCACAGGACGCCCCAACCCTTGTTCCTCCCCCTTTGCCATCACCCACCCTTGGAGAGGAGACAGGGAATCTCAACAGAGGTCTTGCCCACGTGGGGTTCTCTGGTAGCTGACACTCATTCCACAGACACTGATGCACTTCCCCGGCACCAGGCCCTCTGCCAGACTTGAGTTTGGCCAAGGTAGGATGCGGATACACAATACTCTTTTCTCTGGAGCCAAAGACAATGATAATCCAGGCCCCTGGCCCTCTACGCCAAACGCAAGATCAGGCGGCTAGATCAGGGCTCGGCAACCTTTTTCTGTAAAGGGCCAGATAGTAAATATTTTAGGCTTTGAAGATCGTATTTGATCTGTGTCACATATTCTTCTTTTTTTTTAACCGTTCTCTGCTGTGGGTCATACACAAACAGGCCAAGGGCTGGACTTGACCTGCTGGCCGTAGTTTGCTGACCCCGATTGAAGAGTCACATAGAGTGAGACTTCAGAGGTGACTTGTAGACCCTCAGCTGAGGCCTGGAGTCAGCTTTTTAGTTTGTTTGTTTAAAGACCATATAATTTTATCGTCCAAACTGGGATGCTTTTGAGAATGAATAGGGGCGCTCTGAATGACCCTGGAGCGCTCATGTAAACCAGCAGCTGGGCCAACCCTACCGTGCCAGGCCTGTCGGGCTTACCTATCCTGGGCCTTTGGGATCTTCTCAGACCCTCAGGGAGCTCAGAAAGCCCTGGCCAGTCATGGGCCAGAATCAGTTCTGGCTGCGTAGTGCTTTTGGGTGGATGGGTTATAACAGAGTGGTGATTTTGTCTATGGTTTAGATGTATTTTTGTTGGTTAGGTTTTGTTTCCTAATTGTAGTGCTGATGGCCAAAAGCCCTCTGGAAACTCCAGCCAATTCACTCTTAAGAGTAGAGAATTTAAAAGGAAAGGGGTTATTAATGGTTTGGGCTTATGTCCTACTACCTCTCCACCCCAACCCTTGTGCCCAAAAATAGGGCATCACCAAGCTCCCGGAGAAAGTTGTTCGTTGTGGACTGAGACACAGGCTGAATCTCGCAGTATTCCAAGCCCCAGTCCCCAGAAAGTACCACTTAAGTGCTCCCAGGAATTCTGCAAACTACAGGGTCTCAGCTCCTCTCTCTCTGGCCCAGCAAGTTCAAGAGGCCTTAAGCACCACAGGAGACCAAAGAAGTAGAAATTCATCTCCAAAACGCTCCAGGCCTCAGCCCTGAAGATCCCCTCTTCCTCCCCGATGGCCATCTTTGTGATGTGGACACACATGCTCTTTGTTTTAAGTTTTGTCATCTCCTATGGCTGGCGTTTAGCATCACCCAGTGCTGGAGGAGGGGCGGCAGTGTGGAGAGGACCCCAATGTTAGTGCTGCAGGGACTTGAAAAAGTTTTACGAAGCCCCGATACATCCAAGGGGAGCTCTCCACCACCAGATGTGGGTTAAGCTTCCCCGGGTTCATCCCTCTTCAGAGAACATAGCTACACCACACATCACAACCT